ACTAAATAAAAAGAACAATGGGGAAAAAACACAACAGTTGGTAATGCCAAACAATGAGCCAGTGAGGGTGTGGAGAAAAAGACCAGTATATATATATATATATATATATATATATAAACAGAGGGAATGAGGAAATGAAGAACATCTGGTGGCAGGACTGGGGATGACTGAGCAGGTGAGGATGATAAACTGATAATTGACTAGAAAATAGACTGAGGATAACTGAAGGGTGGAAACACAGGGAAACGCAAAAATAACAAAACACACATCCTCACATTCCAAACCAAATACTGTGACGTTATTGTTCAAAAAACTTAATAGGGAATAAAGAAAACAGAACGGACTGAAAAACATGCCCCAAACAGAATATGAAGATATCTATGCAGCACTGGGAGAGACTAAATAATTTTTTTTCTGCACTCCTAGACTCCAAGTACACAACAAAATGTACTAAACAGCTAAAAAGTGGATTTTACAGGATGTCTGCTTTAAGCTTCTTTTAAATGTTCATAAATCTCAGCTGGAGACGGACACACCTTGCACAGACACATTGCAAAACCAAAAGAGGCTATGAGCAGAAACGAGTTGTGCTGACAGAGAGCAACACAGTAAAAATGGGATGGACATCGCCCTCAAATCATCAAGACGTGAAAAATTAACTCAGTTTGTTGGTTAACTTACTTCTCAAACCAGATATTAAGCTACTGTACTAATCACTGATCTTCCCTCAGTAATAAATCTGTTTGTTGGTCTTCACAATATTGAGCCATAAAGACATAATCTTTTCACATGTTGACTGTTCCTGTTTCAGCTGTTATCACCTCACTTTGTGACACAAAGACGCAYCAGAGGTGGAGTGTTTTAAATCACTTTCACTGCCTCTGTCCATTCAGAAATCACACAAAAGCAGCCAAATGTTCGGCCTCCTCTTTTAACCTCTCTCTCCTGTTCCTTCTCTCTGGACAACTCAGAGTCCTTGGAGCAACTGAAATGGTCATTTAATCCCTAATTTATCATTCTTTTTTATGTCATCAGTAACTATCATTCTGTATAAGCCAGAGAACAACAGGACCAGGAACATGTGGCTCATGTATTGTATCTTTCTGACAGAGGGGTTACGGTTTATGCCAGTTGTACTCAGAAGTGTGAATTTCTGACTTTAGAGATGGAAATTTCAACTGGAGCACACCATTAAGTCAGAAAGTCAGAAAAAGTTCATCTGCGCTGGCATAACCATTCAAGATGGCTGCTTCTTTTAACAACAGTAAGTAAAAACTCAGAAAACTCTGTATTATATACTGTATTTCACATTTAGTCAGTTGATCACTTGTCCATGTTTTTAAGTGGATATGTTAGAACACTGTATACAAAAAATGCATCATAAAGCAGTTTTATTGTTTTTAAACAGTGGACAATTCATTTAAGACAGCTTGAAAAGAAATACAAATAGTTTGTATTAAAATGTGACTTAAAGGATTATTCTGTGCCCCATGTTTGTGTTTTATGCCTTCTTTGAAATGTTAAGTCTATACAAACTGCATATACATTTTTGTTAGAATCACCGCAAAAACAATGTTAAACTACTGACAAGCTAGTCTTATAGAGCTTCAGTTACCTACTGTATGTGTGCAGGAAACTGATTCTTATAAGACACTGTTGTCTGTTATTGTCTGTGGGATAACTGTGTACGTGTTATTTTTTAGTCCACCTCATAATTAATCTAAATTTTAATTCACATTAATTTATATAAAATTTACGTTCAGATTTTATTACTCAGTAACTGATAAGATTTTAAATGTAACTAAGTAAAATACTTGAAATAAAACCTATTCAAGTAAAAGTATTGTTTAGAAAAATCAAAATAGTACAAAGTACATATAATTCATACTTCATGCTTAAAGAAAATGTAATTTTCCATTTTTTCCACCCCTGCAAGTCAGCAAGACTATTTTACTATTTAGTTTGGTCCTATATAATAAAAAATGTGAATTTAGACTTACATTTTTTTATTGGACAATTACAAACAAAAAAGTTTTCAAAACTGATACCAACAAAATTAGACAAGAGAAAAAAATACAAATCAATTGAAATTCTTTTGAAGGAATTCATACAGACCGTTGCTTTGCATGTCAAAGTTTAACTAAAGAACTTGTGCAATTTGCGAGCACCCAGAGCTGGGGAAAAAGTCTCGGCTACTACCACATAAAATTTCAGCTTATCTGTGAAACAGACTCTGAGGTCTGCAATCATTGCCAATGAAGAGCCAAATTCAGTAACTTCAGTTTAAGCCTTGCAATACAGTTTTAATTAAAACAAAAACTGTTAAATACAGAATATTATTTGGCATAGTAGTAGTTTAGACAACTACACTTCAATTCTAGATCAAGTTTAACCCAATTTATGCCTGGATGTCTTCAACCCAAAATTGCTCATGAGGCCACCATGCAGATGTGTAGGACTTCCATTACAATTTTTATGATCCAGCATTGTTTAAACACTTTCAAGAACTAATTTGTGCTTTATTTCAGTCTCATCTATAAAGCTGAATGCTGTACAAATAAGTATTAAGTTACGGCTGAGCTGGACTGAATCAGCCTAAAGGTGAAGACTATGTTAAGTGTGAACTTGTCATAGCGTTATTATTATTATTTTTTTTACATTTGTTTTAATCAAGACGTGGAGGGTCACCTCATTTAAAAACTGGGATGCAGTGGCTTTATTTGGTCCATTAATCAGGAACTTATGCTGCCTGTAGTGCTGATCATCTGTTGTAGTGTGTGAGCTGCTCAACGTCCTAAGTTTTGAAACCATTTGATATGAGGTATAAATTCAGTTTTGTAAAATCTAAGTCATATTTTGAAAAAGATCCAGGAAATCAGGAGAATATTCAGATATTTGAATGAATACGTCAAAACCGAAGCCATGCATGTCAGTGCAGCTTTTCAGAGCTGTGTCTTGTGTTTGTTGGGTCAAACAACCAGAGCTGCACTATGTTACAGATAATATACACTCACCAGCCACTTTATTAGGTACACCATGCTAGTAACGGGTTGGACCCCCTTTTGCCTTCAGAACTGCCTCAATTTTTCGTGGCATAGATTCAACAAGGTGCTGGAAGCATTCCTCAGAGATTTTGGTCCATATTGACATGATGGCATCACACAGTTGCCGCAGATTTGTCGGCTGCACATCYATGATGYGAATCTCCCRTTCCACCACATCCCAAAGATGCTCTATTGGATTGASATCTGGTGACTGTGGAGGCCATTTGAGTACAGTGAACTCATTGTCATGTTCAATAAACCAGTCTGAGATGATTCCAGCTTTATGACATAGCGCATTATCCTGCTGAAATAGCCATCAGACGTTGGGTACATTGTGGTCATAAAGGGACGGACATGGTCAGCAACAATACTCAGGTAGGCTGTGGCGTTGCAACGATGCTCAATTGGTACCAAGGGGCCCAAAGAGTGCCAAGAAAAGATTCCCCACACCATGACACCACCACCACCAGCCTGAACCGTTGATACAAGGCAGGATGGATCCATGCTTTCATGTTGTTGACGCCAAATTCTGACCCTACCATCCGAATGTCGCAGCAGAAATCGAGACTCATCAGACCAGACAACGTTTTTCCAATCTTCTCTTGTCCAATTTCGATGAGCTTGTGCAAATTGTAGCCTCAGTTTCCTGTTCTTAGCTGAAAGAAGTGGCACCCGGTGTGGTCTTCTGCTGCTGAAGCCCATCTGCCTCAAAGTTCGACGTACTGTGCATTCAGAGATGCTCTTCTGCCTACCTYGGTTGTAACGGGTGGTTATTTGAGTCACTGTTGCCTTTCTATCAGCTCGAACCAGTCTGCCCATTCTCCTCTGACCTCTGGCATCAACAAGGCATTTCCACCCACAGGACTGCCGCTCACTGGATGTTTTTTCTTTTTCGGACCATTCTCTGTAAACCCTAGAGATGGTTGTGCGTGAAAATCCCAGTAGATCAGCAGTTTCTGAAATACTCAGACCAGCCCTTCTGGCACCAGCAACCATGCCACGTTCAAAGGCACTCAAATCACCTTTCTTCCCCATACTGATGCTCGGTTTGAACTGCAGGAGATTGTCTTGACCATGTCTACATGCCTAAATGCACTGAGTTGCCGCCATGTGATTGGCTGATTAGAAATTAAGTGTTAACGAGCAGTTGGACAGGTGTACCTAATAAAGTGGCCGGTGAGTGTATATTTGAATGCACATAATATTTATGAGATGTTTCAATAAATATAAAACAACACCCCAAGTATTTTTTAAAGGTTGTCAGTCTTATTGCTTTGTATTGAACATGTTATTGCATAAAAAAACACAAATAAAATGAGTCAAGTGCTTCACTTCAGCAAAGCAGGTGTAGAAAGCTGCTGAAATGATTTTGTCACAGAGGTGGAAAAAACGAATGAGTGCATCTGAAACCAATGATGGGTTTGAGATCATTCCCTTTCACACTCTTCTGCTACAATCTGACAAGGAAGCACGAATTGAGAGGAAAAAAAGGAACAAATGAGGAGTAGAAGGGGGGAACAGAAAGCTAGAGAGAGATTGAGATGTGCAATGCCAGCCAAACTTTTTCAATTTCACCGACAATTTCCTGTGTAATTACTGATGTGGTGTGATGGTGTTTTAATGACAGGGACCTGCCAGTGACAGACACATTGTGTGTGTGTGGGTGAGGGTGTGTGTGTGCTGTGGAGATCTGGATGGGCCTGTTGATGATGGCAAAGTGATAAGATGGAGCCATGCTGTGGAGATTAGACACACACAAATACACACAAATATTCTATCCACACACAAAGCTACCCCTAAGCCCTTGCATACACAAACTAGTTAATAATGCCACCTGCTTCCTCACCATCACCCACACACACTTTTATGCTTCCCCTTGGACACATCACCTTCCACCCCCACGTATCAACCTCCCGATCATCAGTGCCAACCATGTGCAGACCAATGAGCCAGTACCTGTAGTCGCACCAGGGACAGCGGTATGGTTTCTCTCCAGTATGAACACGTTTGTGCCGTGAAAGGTGGGACTGCGTGGTAGAGGCAAAGTTGCAGAGCTTACATCTGAAGGGTCTCTCTCCTGCAGGGTGGAGGGGTTAGGAAGATAAAAAAAAAGACAAATGATGAATTCCAGATGAGAAACTGAAACAAGCAGATGATACACCAATTAAATGATACAATTTGCAATTTTTGGATAAAAATATAAGATCATTCCACCAGCTTTAAAACCAAAACCGTTATATTAATAGTCAGTGTTTAAAACAATAAAAATAACTGTTTACAACTTTAAAAAAATCAGTTTATCCATTAACATAAATTTGCAGTTTGTTCCTTCAGTTTCGTTAACCCGTTAATGTTTGCTAACAGATATTTTTTCTGACTAAAACCAAACAGATCACTGTTTGGGTTCAGTAACATTGAAAAGTTGGACAAATTCTTACTTCCAGGATAAATAATTTCTACACAAATTTTTGCAAAATTATGAACATCGTCAGGGAACAATACACTGCAGCCCAATTTATTAAATGTTCGTCATACTTCAATCGGCTCTTAACTGTCAAAGATTTTTGTCTCAGAGCTTGAAATGTTAAATTCACACCCTCCTTACTCCCTCCGAACTGCCGAAATGGGTTCGAATTGTCGCAGTTTCATGACAACAATTGCGTCATTCTGTTCGCATTGACGACATTTTGTCAGCTTCTTGACACAACCCGCTGGTCAAACTTTTTACCCCCACCCACCCACCACATAAGAACTTATTGTGTGATTGGTCTGAAGTTTGTGGGAGTGTTTGTTTGTGCTGAAAGTGCGCAGAAGCTGCATTTTGTTTTAACCATTCACTTAAAAATAAAAAAAAGCGATTCGCTTCATGAGCTGACTGTTGTAGCAGGAAGAAGCGATTTATAAAGATAGTCAAATCGCCAAAAACTCATGGATGGAGAAAAAACAGGCATTGTGCACGGTGGAATCTAACTGATAAAAAACTTTGGAGCTTTAACAGCAACAGATTTGTGGGTAAATAACATTGGGTGACAAGTCTCTGACTTATTTTTTCCACATTGTGGACTTCAGCGGGAGGAACCCCTCTGTAGTACGGTACACTGCAGCGGGAGGGGTTTCCCCAGGAGCTTGGCGCAGGGTGTCTCAGGGACTATGAAAGATGTGTGCAAAAACGAACGCCGAAAAACCACGTGACTGAGCATCGACTGTTCGGCTTCGGATGGAGTATGCAGAGGCCTTTAACCAGCTGAGAGACATCTGGAGCTGTCTTAAATATCTGGGAGAGTGTTACTAATAACTAAATTTGTTTGTCCATTCAAAATGCCCTAAATCCAAGCAAAAGGAGCTGCTGTTAGTCCAAAAGTCATACTGGACTCACAAAAACATAGAGCTGATTTACTCCTCACTCTCAGCTCACTCCGCTCTAGGGTTGCCAGCTGTCTCGTATTTTCAGTCAAATTGTAGCTTTTTTCCCGTGTTCTGAACACAGCCAGAAATCAGAGCCATCAAGTTACGGCAGGTAGATGTTTGTATAGCGCCCCAAGCTGAAGAGAGACCTCGAAGGACGATACTGTAGTGGTCCAATGCAATGACGATGTGATTCACTGAGGGCATTGAAATGACTGTTGTACTCACGCTTCCCTCTTAAGGGGCCCTGTGACAAAAACTCAGCCTATAACATTCGTATGCAACTTTTCACACCGTGGTTGTGATTTATAAAACTCAAACTTGACCGGCTTTAGCTTTCTTACCAGTATTATTTTTGCTTCTGCTGGTGAGCCATAAGGACCTTTGAAATAAAAACTTAAATCTTAAATAAAAGTTCACGCATCTCCATCAATCTCCTTCCTCCTCAGACGACCCTGACCCACAGATCTCTCCCCGACAAGAGACATTTCAACAGCACGACAGCAAAAGTCACGCTTGGGTAATTGTAGGGTGTGCCCACCCTCGCCAGTGTGCACACCCTCGCCAGTGTGGATGTTAAAAAAGTTCACTTTTTGAAGTCAGTATTTCTCACGCATGCTGTGGAGATGTGAAGGGGTGAGGAGACGATCAACGGCAGGTGAACTTATTACTAATTTTATCTGACGTATTTAATTTTATTTATTGTTTTTATCCTCCTGCAGGCTCTGAGAGAAAATTAATTTGAAGCTGAGTTTTTGAAAAAAATCCTGATTGTTCTAAACATCTGTAAACCTGCGAAATGAGGGAAAATCTGTCAATTACAGACATTCTGTCCACGTGAGCAGTTGTCAGGACCTGTCATCCTCCAGACGCACGACGAAGCGTGTCTGAACCAATCGCTTTTTTTTGATATTGATCAGCTGACTGATTTAAATACATCTTAACATTCATGAGGTACTTTGCATTGACTGTTTATGGTTGAGTGTGGRCGTGTAGAGGGTAGAACCTGAGGCGGGACCTCGTGTGCAAACTCTGAGGTGCAGTTGTGACCTATAAAGGAAAGGTGCACAGAAACGTGCGTACGCCTGATTTTATAAATCTGAATTTTACTTTTTAGTAGGCCATTTTCGCCTTTTGGCTGTACGTTTGCTTTTAGTATGGTTTCCAAGCAATCCATTATAAACTTGACCCCTGGAACGGATTTGAAAAAAATCCGATTTGTTATGTTCAGATTGTCAGGAAAAAATCTGATTTTGGTCCATTTTGAACATAACCTATGGGCTGTTTTTAGTGTGGTGGGTGACCATATTTTTTTTATAAATCTAAACACTGCCACAAATATATTATCAAACTATTTAATGGTATATTTGACCTAACCACTGAAAACATGGATGAGTCTGATCTAAATTTTAAAAATAAATTTGTCATTTAATAGTTATATTCTGAAAATTAATCACAACAACACATGTTTGTATTTACATTTCTTTATCCTCCTGTTTACTGAGGCCAATAGCAGCTGAAAAGTAGTAAAGAAAAGAAAACCTGTTGATTAAATAATTCATTTAATCCATCATGTTGCATGAAAATAACAGAAACAACAGATGGATTGATTTTTTTTTTCATTTTCACAGTGAAAAACTTGTCTGTGTGAAGATAAATTCTAATCCAGCCCAAAATTGCTTGAAGTTGTAATTTTTCAACAGGACCCTGTGGTAATACTGACAAATTGAGAAGACTGGCTGTCGTGAACATGTTTTGCAAAAAAAAATATTTATATAAAAAATATAAAACTCAAGAATGGGAAAAAAATGTATGGCTTTAGAAAACTTGCTCCAGACAAATGTTTAGAATACACTGTCAGATCTGTTGTCATTGAATATCAATAAGTGAAACTAACACCTGTCAGCAAAGGAGAGCAGGACAGAAATTGAGGTTTCAGTTGGAAATTGAAGCAAAATCTTAGGAGTAAACAGAATAAATGATAAAAAAGCAAAAACTGGTATTTGTTTCACTATCTCACCC